CCTCGTGCTGCCAGCGCGGGCTGGGCGGGGGCTCTGGAGCCGTGCAGCACACTGCCCGCCCGGCAGCACGTCAGTGCGTTACCTGGGTGCTTCTGCTCCTGAACCCTCGGTGTGCTGGAGGCTTTGCCTCTGTCCTGAACTCCTGCAGGGCGTGGTGACATCTGCACAAGGTGAGTTCTGCCTCAGTGTGACTGTTAAGAACAGAACAACCTTCCAGCAGAAACTACACACAGAGCCTTTACCAGCAGTAAGAGCGTTCTGCCGTGTTGGGTCCCTGGGCCACCGCAGTGAGGTGGAGCCCGGGGGGCTCTGTCCTGGGGCACCCCACGTCTGCTGCCTGCAGCGGTGCCCGACACCGAGCACCCGAGGAAGGAACCGGCTCAGGGGAGGAGACATGGCACAGGCTCCCCAAAACTGATCAGTGTTCAGAAAGGGCATAGTACAGAAACAAAATGCTTTAAAGGCATCTGTTAAATTTACGTTTTTCCTTAACTGACTCTGCTGTCTTCTATTTATTAATGAAAAAAGCAAAAACTGAGGAACTTTTCATAGCTTCATTCTTTCACATAAGGGGTAAGATGGCATAAGAATTTCTGGTAGTAAAGTGTTTACAGCTACTTTCTGTACAAGAAAAAGTAAGATGTAAAAGGCGATGACAGTTTTATATATCAAAATGTACAAATAAACCTGCAGTACAAGTATTCCATCATTAACAACCGTTTCTACATGACTCAATGATTTTTATAATATCTTTGTTGAACTTTTGTTATTTGAACAGGGAGTCGAGGGAACTTCCAGTAATAAATTGCTTTTCTTTTCCAGAAGAGTATTATGTCTGTGGGCAAAACCTGGGTCATGGCTTGAGCTGTTTAAAGTATGCCACTGAAAGTCACCAAAGAACTGATTTTATACAGTGCACAACCAACAGGCCGTGAACTGGAGTTTCTTTTTAATATCTATATAAAAAATAATGAGCGATTTACAGGTCTCTCTCTATTCAGAACCTCAGAAGTCTGTATAAAGGTGCTGTACAATATATAAACATTTACACCCAGTACATCCATACACCGACCGCGTTGCTAAGTCATCCGATACAGTGAGTACAGATCCGAGTTCTATAGGAGGAGAAATCACACACGGGTAAGACATTAAGTCAGGTCACATTAACGTACAGAAAAAATACAGGGGCAGCTGATGACAGGGTAGCTGATGTCAGTGGTAATTCATCTGAGTGTGAAACCTCTGAACTTGTGACTGGACTCTGGTTCGGGCAAGTGCACACAACATAAATAGACTCTTGTTAAGAATACACGGGTGATATCTACAGAGGCTACTTCAAAGTATTAAATATTTTCACAGTCATACTCCCCACCGTGGAGTGTTTGTATGTGTTATGCTACACAGCAAATCTCAGTGGATCGTCCCACGTTGAGCAGCAGAGCACAGTTCAGATCTGCTTTAAAGCCTATTTAATTTTCAAAGTGTTTAAAAAGCAGTTGCGAGTAGTCATCGGTACTTCTGAAGAATTCAACTCAGAACTGATGCACTGTGCTTCAGTAAGCTTTAAAACGATAAATGTTTCAAAGCCAAAATGAGATACTCATTCAGAAATTGCAAATCGTATTAGTTTGCATTTTAATACAAGTAAGTAAAGCTTGACCTTTTCCACTTCCCTCTCCTGCAAACTGGACCACCGAGCTCCTTTCACCACTTTTCTGTAGTCATTAAAAAACTCAATGTGTTAGGAAATCATCACTGAACTGAATAAAATAAACCCCTTCAATTTATGCAGTCTGCTGTTCTTTCTTACAGCTGTAGGACTGATGTGTTGGCAGATGACGGTCATAACAGTCCCCTTCTAAAAATATGTTTTCTAGCCCAAACCATTGATAGTAAGTCTTGTGTTCCCTGCACATCATCCTATTCAGCACTCTTAGATCACAGGTTCAATATAAAATACAGGAGATGCTGAAAACACACACACACACACACACACACACACACACACACACACGAGGCAAGAACTTCATTTTAAGATGCTACCGTGGCAGCTGGTTCTGTCCTAAAGATCAGTTGTTCTCTCTGCAGAGGGGAGAAGCCTCAATTCCTAACTACCAATAAATAATTAAAGCTGGGACTTCAGAATACAGCACTGCAGTGAGGCTGAAAAGAGATGTGCTTTCATTGCTTATGCTTACAAAGAATGCTGAGGATGACAGTGCCTCAAGTAACACCAAAGGAATTATGTTATTTAACAGAACCCAGAACTGTCTCTTTTCAGACATGTTTGCAAACAGTTGTTACAAGCATCCTCATCAATCAAGAAAATAAAGCAATTTTGCCATGTTCTTAAAAAGCAAAATTACAAAACATTGTCAAATAGGATTTTTATCAATACGATTTTGTATTAGGTGTAAAAAATTAAGAAAAAAACATCAACTGAACAACATCAGTGGGTCATTTGCTGCCTAGAACTGACAGAACCAACTCACCCACCTCCTTACTGAGCCATATGGGTACTGCCTGAAGTACACATGCAAGACGCTCTTGAGGAACACCCATGTCAGACAATCGCAGCCTCTTCTGGGGCTGGCACACACGGGCAGGACCAGGACAGCTTGGCACAAGGACAAGACGTGAGTCAGGACTGCACTGGCAACACAGGCACTGAGCTCTGCTCGGGAACCGGGGCGCTGCCTGCGGCAGCCGGAGCAGCGCGAGTCGGGGGCAGCCGGGCAGCGCCTCCAGCAGGGCGCAGGGACAGCAGCTCACCGAGGCATTCCACTGAAGCAATCCAACAGGTCCTTCATGCAGCTTAGATAATTTAAGAATTAATCAAATACTTTCCACCCTCTAACCAGTTTCCAGAAAAAACTGACAACTCTGTGAAAAGAAACAATTCTTTTAAACGCCCATTATTAGAAACGTGATTAAAATGTCCCAGTAAAGTGTCAGTCAAACCCGTTTTTCAGCCACACCTGCTGCTTGGGTGACTTTACATGCACTTGGTACCCTCCAAGGCCCAGGAGTTATCGGTGTTTTCTTGACTGGAGAACTGTTCTCAGATTTGGAAATTCCATCATCTTTGGTTTCGTCGGGCAGCTCCACGTGTCTCTCTCTGTGTTGTCTGTTCAGCAAAACAGTCTCCTGTGTTTCCAGCAGTCTCTGTTTCTCCATGGAAAGCAGTGGAATATTGGAAAGACTGGAAGTTTTGAATCTGCTGGAACTTGGGTCTCCAGAGTTTGACTTTATTTTTTCACCTTCAGATGTGTTTCTCTTAAAGTCACCAAACAGAAGATTATTCTCATCAAACGCGGCGTGTGGTCGCTCTGGAGACCACCCTTCCATCCTTCCAGAAGTTTGCTGCTTCATCGCTTTCCTGGTTACTCCTGGTTTGCCATTTCCACCTTTCAATTGCTCAGCAGTCACTTTATCACCTCCAGTTGTTGGATCTTGATATTCCTGTAACCTTCCCACCAAGTCTACATTTCCTTGCTTACTGAGATGCTTCTGGGGACTTGCAGACCTTCCCTGGTTTCTGCTGGAATACTCGTTTTTGTCACTATTGTTCATCCCCGTTTCTGTGGGTTTATTCTCATTCTTTCTGGAACTGTCAGATTTATGTGAGAGACTGCTGCAGTTTTTTTCAGGCTCCCCTTTTCTGGGGCCATGGAACCCTGTGTGAGGGTGTCCCTCAGCAGCCACCAACCTTTCTGGACTTGCGGATCTGTCTCTTCTGGTCCCTATTTCCAAACTACCTTTTGTGATTTCAAACTCAGGGCTGGAGGGACATTCCCACCTGTTCTTTGTCCTCTGGGGTGAAGACTGAGGCTTCATCTCAAACTGGTTTTCAGTTAAAGTGCTTATCCTTTCAGGCACAGTGTTCTTTGCTTGTTCCAGTTTCTCAGACAGCTGAACTCTTGTTAAAGCTTCTCCTGGTACTGGTAAATAACACACTTCAGATGGGGAAGCAGAATGTGAAGATGAAGATAATGGTGACTGTTCTTCATATATTACATTTGATGAAGATGGATTATAACTATCCCAATCACCTGGAAGTGAACAGTGAGAGATTCAACTAAATGCCTACCCAAAAGGGGGGAGTAGAGGGGGGGGAGAAAAGGAAAAAAAAGAAATCACAAAATATTTTAGAAACATGCATACTACTGAGGCTGCAGGATGTTATATGAAATCTTCAGTTTACAAAAGATTATGCAGTGGCATACTCTGAAAATCTTACCTAGTCTTCTCTATGGCATCGTTCTACAACCTACAACAATCATAAAGATGTGATTCTGGAAAAATAATTGTGCTTAGAATGCTGGCATGATCTCTGCGGGCCTGACACAATCTATCAGCAGAAATTTAGAGTCTACAGAGCACAACTGCAACACAGAAAGTCCCTGACTTATGGTGTTTAATACAGGAAAGCCAAATGGCCTGACACTGTTATGCTAAAAGGAAACTGAGAACAGTAAAAGGCTGGGGTTACTCATAGCCTGGCACTTTAACAATAGGAAGAGATGAGACACAAGACATGCAGATTTACCAAGTCTTTAAGGAAAAACCAAGAAAAGCACTGAAAGCCCTTAGTGTTGCTCAGGTTTCACGTAGGGACACAGACTGGAAGGAGCCAAACC